AATCTTAGAAAACAACTGGGACTTTAGAAAGCAAGAAAAGCTCCTACATAGGGGAGGATTCAAACTATTAAATATGCCTATATTCTAAGGGAGGAAAATTGAGTCTTCAGTTTACTCAATGATGACATCCGCGCCTCCTTCTTGATTGGATGGTGCGTTGCGGAATGAAAAGATCTTTGCATCCAATAATTTCTGGACTTTATTTTTCAAAACAACACAGTCATTGACGGAATGTCCTGTTTCACCCAAATGATAGTCATATGCCTCGGAGGGATCGTAGTTGGGGAGACGCTCAGGATTTTCACGCTTTGGCTCTTTAGCAAGCAACCTCTTTTCCAGGAGAATAGGCAGGATCTGAGACATAGGCAAAGGAAGTGGCGTGAACTGCTTTTTGTTATTTCGCCTTTGGGGCGGCTTGCGGTCTGAGGCCGGTTGCTGTCCACTGCTCATCTGAATCATTGGGGAAGGACGAACGGTTTGGGTGTATGCAACATCCGCATCTGTCAGGGGTTCTTTCTCCTTCTTCATGCCGAGTTTCTTGCTTGTGGAAGTGGGGTCTGTAAACCACCCCTCATGCAATCCCATTTCGATTCGTTCACCCACAGGAACAAGACGATTAAGGGATTCAGCAGTGGCACCAACCAGGCGGTGTCTGTATTCATATGGAAGAGACTTTATGAATAATTTCACTTGTTCATGATCAGTGAGTTGTGGGGTAACCTGGGCGGCCAAGTTTCTCCATCTGGTGGCATACTCTTTGAAGGACTCACTCTTCTTCTTCTCAGCGCGTTCCAGATCGTCACGAGTAAAGGTGACGTCGAGGTTGAATTGATAATGCTTGAGGAATGCCTCAGCGGCATCATCCCAAGACTTAAAAGTATCCACATCCTTCGACATATACCATGTCAAGGCTGGCCCCGTCAAACTCGCTTGGAAGATCTGAATCATGAGGGGTTCATTATTAACATACTGAGTCATCCGCACATGATACATGTGCAAATGATGTCTGGGGCATGAGGTACCATCATACTTCTCGAATTCTGGCATCTTGAATTTTTCTAGTACTTTAACCCGTTTGTATATAGACAGGTCAAGTGGGACAGCATTCTGCGGGCCTTGTAGCTGTTTCAGCATCTCCTCAACTTTTGCAAGGCGTTTGTCCCGTTTCCGTCATTGGTACGCCTTCAAGTTCGGGCTTCCCGGCAAAGAAGGGGAAGCGGATCGTCCTCCAAAGCAGGGGCATTTTTCGTCACTAGCGGAGGCTTCGTCTTTTCCAGTAGACGGTGGTGGTAACACCACTTCAATTGATGCAGGCGTGGGTGTGAGCTTGCCCTGAATGGATTCCACCTGCTTTGTGAGATTTTGGATCGCATTGAGGACCATTTTCATCTCATCTTCCATGTTATTGAGGCGGACGTTTTCTTCGGCCATTTTTGTAGCTACCTGCGAAAACGCTGATATGAATGAGTATAATGCCCAATAAAGAATCATTCTATGACTTAGTCATATTATTATTGCATATTTTCTTTATTTGCAAAGAAAAAAAATAAGCAAAAAGGATTTTTATTAATATTAACATTACAGGCGGCGTCCCCGGTGTTCGAACCCCGGTCGCCTCGGACCGTTACTGCTCATCCCCGGATACCACTAGGCCGAAGGCCGCGGTGGTGTCATTAAGGGGCAAAAAATTTTATTTATAGAATAAAAAACGGTCCGAGCTATATTTAACATTAGTACAACCTAAAAACATTTTTACAGGAGATAACCAAAATCCCTGAACATAATTACTAGGAAATATAAAAGACAGAGGCTTTTAACAAAAGGGTGCCCTTCCCGGATACTCATTTTATAAACGATGGGGAAATCACGGTCTCTCGGAGGCGCTTATTTTTACGGACAAGCTCCGCAATAAGCGTATCCCTGGTATATAGACTGCAATCAACGGGTGGCCTAACAGTAACAAATCAATTGAATAAGTAGGCCGTATATATAAAAAAATGAGAAGGGATAGAATATATACCTTTCCTTGAACCATGGCAATCGCAACAACATGCATATGAGGAGTGAGGTTCGATTTCTATCTAGACTGGCTCAGCAACATGAAGTTAAAAGGGTGCCTGACCGTCGCAGTCTCGCGTTGGTATCAAGTCCTTTTAACCTCGGCCAAATCGAAAGGAATATCTTATAGTCACGCGAATAGCGGCTAAAGATACTTCTTTACGATTTTTAGAAATAAATTTCGGGGAAAAGAAAGGCAACCTCTACATCGCGGGCTCGCGTTCGAGGTTGTATCTTTCTTAACACCATCCTAACATGCCCTATCGCGGCCCAGGTCCGGCAGCGTGGTTGTGTATGCAACGGTGTAGTGCTAAATCATTAAAGCATGCATAACAAATTATAAACAATCAATTCGAACCTGCAAGTACAAATAACACCTTAATGTTAGTATCGTACCTGGAGTCCTTGCTACCAAACAAAAATCATTTTGAACAGGATAAAATTTTTTTGGCCTAAGTCCACTTTTTTTAAAAAAATGATGTCCCCAGCGGAGTTGCCAGTCTGTCGCGACCGAACTCTCGAGCTCCTTTTTTATCGAACATGCAAAAAAGGGGGCTCGCCTGGTATGTGCTAAGTCTAGGTTCATGACTTAACTCGGGCCCTCCCAAGCCCATACCATATCGCGACTTGGGGTTTAAGTATTTAACATGCACGTGGTTTATACCAAGGAGTCGCCACTAATCGATTTGGGGTGGATCGATTAGAAACCCAAATAGGGTGATGGGAGAATCACCTTATTCCTACGAACCAGAGATTAACTGAATTTGGGGACTTGGTTACACTAGTTAGATAACTAATGCCCTTTCGGTACCTTTTTATCCTGTTCATTTCATGAAAACATTTGTCAGATAATTTGAATTGATTTTAGGACCTTTCTCCTAATATGTGAGGTGATCAAGCGAGTGCATAATCAGAAACGATTAGCAGTCGGGAACGCAACAATTCATGCAGATTAAGGTTCTAACCTTAACTAAGTCAGATGACATTCAAAACACAACAACTCATACAATTGTATTAAAAACATGCATAATAATATCACAATAAAACAAAACACTTAGAAATATCACATAATTTTAAAAAAAAAAATTCTTTTTTTTTAATTTTAATTTTAAATTTTTTTTTCGAGAAAAAAAAGAGAAAAAAAAAATTGTTTAAATTTTTTTTAAAAAAATAATAAAATAAAATAAAAATATTAATATAATATTAAAACCCGGGTCGGGTCGGCGGATCCGGGTCGGTTGGATCCGACCCGGGTCAACGGACCCGACCGATTACGTTGACCGGGTCGGATTTCCGGATCCGACCCGGGTCAAAGGGTCAACCCGGGTCTGGACCGGATCGGGCCCGGTTGGGTCCCGGTCCGGTGGAAAAAGACGAAAAAGGGCCGGTTTGACCGGGTCGAACCGGCCCAAATGGCCTGACCCGGTCTGCAAACCGGTCTGACCCGGTCTGCAGACCGGTTCAAACCGGTTCTCACGTGCATAAGGCACGTGAGACCGTCGACCGGCGAGATCCAGCGTCTTGCCGGCCGACCCAGACCAAATCCGGCAGGGCTTTCGCCTCCCGGGACACCCACGAAGCCCTTTCAGTCACCCAACTCGCCGCCCGGCCACGCGCTCGCCGGCCGGCGCCCCAAAATCAAACCTGTTTCACTGGGGCCTTTCGTCAAGAATCTGGCGTGCACTGCTTAAAAAGGGAGTTTTTGACCTGCTCCGGCGACCCGGTCGGCTCCGGCGGTCTGGCTTGCCTTTGGTGACGACGTATGCACGGTGGGGGACGACGGTATGGACCGGGACTCGCGCGAAACGGCCGGCGCAGGTCCCGGTCAAACCGAGCACAAAAAACAGGGCAAAACAGAGGGGCTTCTCGGCCAGGGGGGAGCTCAACGGTCGACGGCGCGTCAGGGCGGCTTTCCGGCTACTCCGTGGGCGACGGCGACGTTGCTGGTTGTCTTTCTTGCTCCGGCGTGGCCTCGGTTTGCTCTCTCTCCCTCTCTATTCTCTCTCTCCTCTCTCGGTTCTGTCTTTCTCTGTTTTTTTTTTAAATCGCCGACCGGGGGTGTTTCCGGGGGTTGCCGGTCGGCTTGCTGGAGACGGCGAGACCGGCTGGGACCTGCGAGACGCTCCCAGGCTCCTCTCTCTTCTCTGTTTCACTCTAATTCTCTCTGGGTCTCTCTCGGACTCTCTGTTTTCTCTCAAAATTGGCCGACCAGGACTCTCTCTCTCTCTCTCTGGCCTTTATAGCCGACGACCGGCGTGCCTTCTCTGCCCCATACGCTTGCATGACGACGGTCTGCCCCGGCCTACTCTGGCTGGCGACTTTCGCGGCCATCTAGGCCGGTGCAGAGCAGGGGGGAGCAGCTCTGTGAGGCGCAGAGAGGAACAGGGGGAAGAGAGGGTGGAGGGGATAAGGGAGGCCGGGGAAACGGGGAGGACGGGACTGGCAATTAATGCCAGTCCCGTCGGCATGCTCACCCGGCCCTGCTCTGGCCGGATAGCGACGCCGAGGAGTGGCGCCGCCGTGCGTCGGCGTGACGTCTCGAGCAGGGGAGAACAGGGGCGAGAGAGCGACCGGCGAGGGGGAAGAAGAAAGGAAGGGCTGGGCCGGGCCAGGCCCAGCTGCGGGGGGGGGGGGAAAGAAAAGAAAAGGAAAGCGGGTCGGGCCCGCGCGAAGGGAAAAAAAAAAGAAAAAGGAAAAGGGGCCGGGCCCGGGGGGAAAAAGGAAAAACGAAATGGGCCGGGTCGGCCCAGCTCCGACCCGGCCCGACTCCATTTTTTTTTTAAAATTAAACTCTATAATAGACTCTATTAGTGCAAATGTACCTAATTTCTATATGCAATGCATTTAAATAGAAATATTTTTTTGTTTTAGGAATTAAAGAAAATTAATTCCTAAATTTTGTGTAATTAATTTTTGGGGATATTAAAAATAGGTGTCAACACAATTCAATGGATTGTCGAAACAACCGCAAAGACCGGTGGTCCACCCTCCCTTGTTGGCATCGGGAACGCTGTGAGTGGGTGTTCCTTTGTAGACCTGTGGAGGAATGGGATGGCCGACGTATGCTGGGGGAGCGCTCGCTTCCGGAGGGAACACCACAGGAGGTGGCGCGGCAACTGGGGGTGGAGGCGCTTTCGAGTTCCCTCCGGAGTTTCGCGGAGCCATTTTAGAGCTAAAATTCGGCTCGGCGAAAGGATGAGAGAAGGCAAAAACTATGGAGCTACGTCAAGTATGGCCACAAACACCCGGATGCAGCAATATATACAAATATTCACACAACCTTTCTTTTTTCTTTTCTTAATCTTTCTCCCCTTTGTACATGAATCAAGTGGGAATTTTAAAACTTAAGAATGCTCAACTGTACATATTGACCATGAATAGAATATTTACTAAGCAACTTCTTCGTGACTAATGAAGGTCTGATTACTCGGTGAAGTATTATTTGCAAGATTCTTTTTTTTTGTTATTATTTTTATCATTTTGACTATGTCAATGTGGAAAATTTCCATCTAACTGAGTTTAAATAAACCTCAATCAATTTGAAAAAGAAATATAATAATCTAGGTCTTGTCTTCCACTGGATGAATGTTATAATGGTGTAAGTCAACTCTCTCTCTCTCTCTCTCTCTCTCTCTCTATCGCACATATTCAAAACGAAGAAATAAACGCAATACAAGCTTGCGTAGCAACTTGGTTTCTTCTACATCTACGGTTAGTATGACGAATGATTATGATATTACATATCATTGCCATTTTAAAAAAGAAAAGAAAAGAAGGTCAGATTACATTTGAATAGCTATTTGCTCATTTTATTTCGTCGGATAATCATCAACTACACATTTCTGTGCTGTTTATGTTTCCATCCATAGTACCAAAGATGGTTTTCCTTCTTGTCACCAATCAATTATACACAAGAATCAATGTCATAGACGTGATCAATCCTCACGGTCATGATTTTCGCAATGCCCCTTCGATTAGAAGTAAATCTGCGGTTCGAAATTAGAGGCTAATTTCGCAAGTCGTTAGATTTCAATTGATATTGCATTGTTTTCTCGTACGATTCTTGTGCTGTAATTGATTCTGTCAATCACGTTAATTGCATACCAAATTTTTTACGTCGGAAGGTGAAGTGGGCTTATGGGAGAAAATATGCATCTTCATATATCGACACTCAATGTATACTTAAACAACTCCATAACGTACCTTCGCCGTTTTGGCTAAGTCGACAAGAAAGAGGCATGTACGTAGACAATCTCATATACAAAGTGAGCAAACCAAGAGGATCCTGTCTTTGATGATTCAACTTCACTACAAATTGTCTGTTCCCGACTGACACTTGTGTATTGCCGATTCTCACATGATGGCTTGACCCTTCAACTGAGCATATTACTGCGTTGGTTATATCTCTGCACTATTGTTCAATATTGTTTGGGCACGATTGAAGCTTGGTAATTGTACTTCAATGAAAGAAAATTGACGGCTATATAGGGAAGTGGCTGAAAGTGGGAAGTTATTAGAATTGTTAATTGTATGATTTTTGATCTTTTTATTATATAGTGTAGGGTCAATTTGGAAAAAGGCGCTAAAAGTGAGCCCAAACCCGATTTTAATTTCTAAATATAGACAGAATGCAACGATATTGGTCTAATGTTAATTGATTAATGGTCCGACTCTTACACTTTCATGTGCCACAAGATCTTCTCTTTCATCTAGTTTTGTATAAAAAACAGAATTATGAATTGCTTTTGCCAATTCTTTTGAATGAGATTTCTTTTTGGTCAAAAAAATCTTTTGGATGAGATATTTTACTACATTTTTTTTGTCGAAAGAAAATTATATTCGTTATTCAAAAGGATACATGAGAAGTACAGTGACTTTCATGACAAAGAAAATTGAAGTTGAGCAAATCTCATAATACAACAAATCAAAGTCAAATTCAAAAATAAGGAAGATCAACAGAACACTGACAGGGTTAAGCACGTACTCATTTCATAAAAACGGATCTGTCAAGCAAAATAAGGCAAAAGTACACTATAAGTGCCATAACTTGTGTACGGCGATTACTTTGGTGCCATAACTTTTTTTCGGATCACTTTGGTGCCAAGTCGGAGGAAAATAGATCACTTTAGTGACTCCGGCCAAAAAGCCGACCTGACATTTATATTTAAAAAAATGGTCTGACTTGTACACGTGGAAATTATGTGGATTTTTTTCGAATTTTTTTCATTTTTAGAAAAATAATGATAATTTAAAAAAAAACAAAAAAAGGTTGCAGCAGTGGCGAGGGAGCCCTCGCCGCTGCTGCCGCCAACCCACCACCGCCGGGAAGGGCCGGCGGTGGTGGGCACAGTGTCGGTGAGGGTCGTCGGCCCAGGCCCGGCAACCTCGTCTCACACCGAGGCCCGGATCCGGCGAGACCTCGTCTCGACCCGGGCGAGGGGGCTTGCCCGCCGGATCGCGACGGCGAGACCTCGCCTTAGGCCGGGCGAGGCAAGACCTCGCCGTCGCGACCCAGGCGACGGCGAGGTCGGCCTCGCCTTCGCTGGTCGAGGCGAGACCTCGCCGTCGCCTGGGTCGCGACGGCGAGGTCTGGCCTAGCCGTATCCGGCCCTCGCCGACCACTGTGCCCACCACCGTCGGCCCTTCCAGGCGGTGGTGGGTTGGCGGCAGCAGCGGCGAGGGAGTCCTCGCCGCTGCTGCAACCTTTTTTTTTTTTTTTTTTAAATAAATATAATTTAATTTTTTTAAAAAAAGTACACGTCAGCGGGCTAAACGGCGTCATTTTTGGTTTATAATGCTGACTGGACCTCTCCGGCGAGCCGTGTCAGTGCCACATCGGATTTCCGACGAGCCACGTCAGCATTGACACTAAAATGATCGTTTTTCAAAAAAAATTGGCACCAAAGTGATCCGAAAAAAAGTTATGGCACCAAAGTGATCTCCGTACACAAGTTGTGGCACTTCTGGTGTACTTTTGCCAGTAAAATAATCGGCGGTCGATCACTGGATCTCATATCATCCATCAGTGATGAGTATATGCCAGAAAGTCCTTCTCCAATAACTACGCCGTTGCCTTTTGACGGTGCACGCCTATGTTCAACTTCCTCTACATCATCACTAGATGAAGACAATCAAAACTAGTTGAAATAACACAAATCTAAATTGGAGGCAGAGGACTTGTACAGAGACATAACACGGGGTATCGAATCCCTAAAAATATTATTGAACTTCTAAATTTAAATCGGAAGAGAAAAGCTCGTAGATCTAGAACTAAATCATGAGAGTTCAAACTCTTAGATTTACAATTAGATCGGGAGAAGAGAACTCCTAGATTTAGATCGAGAGAGTATAGAAAAACAAGAAAAGAACAAAAAGACAGGAACAAAATCAACGGGAGAGAAGGGTGAGACTAGCTCAAACCCTCTCTATGGCTAAAGCTTGAAGAAGAGAATGGAGAGAGAAGAGAGAGAAAAACTTTTTGTCTTCTGCTTGTTGGATATATGATCCTTTACTACTTTAGAAGCTAGAAATTGATGTCCCCATTGTACTAACACATATCCACTTATGCATCGTCAATGACATGTTAACATCCATGCGCCCTTGCACTTCCCATCTATCTCATTTTGAGCTACGATTCCATGTGGATCATCTACGAAAACGACGAATGTAATCACACAATTAAGAGATGGTGCCGGAGGCAATCTTGAGCCGTCATTGGGGTTCGGGGGACTCATTCTGGACCTGAAGTTTCCCTCCGCAAAAGGCAAAGAACAAAATAGATGGAGCTTCGTCAACAAGAGGCAAGCATTGCCAGTATGTAGCTCCAAATCGAAACTGCCGCCTTATTTGTCATACATATCCGTGCGCTTCGAGGGAGTATGTTTTTCCTTTCTCATTTTCCTATTCTGCCGATTGCTTTGGCTTTTGGCACGTCGATGGGCTCTAATGACAGGTTTTAACATTTATGAATAGATAAATTAGTTATGATTCAAACCAAATATTTCATGGCAAGTAAGACACCCTTGGATAATGCCTAGAGAATGTAGTTGCGTTGGTTGCCTCTCCTTATCCTTTTTATCTATAAAAGTATCATTTTTTTTTCACATCGAACGGTTTAATTGCTCTTGTTGGTTGTACTACTATGGGATCATCGAGCAACATGAAAGCCAGAAAATAATGGGTCTTTTCCTATATAATCTTATTCGTTGGTCGTCAATCTATGACCTTTTGGTCTGGATAATAGGAGATGCCAACTGACCATGCAATTATCATCATGACCCGTGAACCACGACTGGAACAAATTAGCCTTCTCTAATCTATCTTGTAATTCGCTGTAAGGAAAATTCTCCTCAATTTCAAGGTTGTCGTGATATAACATGACAGAGTATATTACACTTTTCAAGATCTGATATTACAATGTAGTACGAAAGTCCAATTTCAAGTCCTAGAAATTCAAACAAAGCCCCGACACTAAAATAAAAGGCACACAAAATAATCTCTCAATCATTCAGCTACCTCAGCAGGTTTGCTAAAACTTTTGAAGGGAGGACAAGATTAGAATTTGAGAATAAGATGGATGAATTGTTGCGAAGGTTGGCCCGGGAGAGATATCAACGAATCATGCCTCCGGGAACTGATGGACGGACCGTGATTCCGATTGGTCGAGTCCTTTGTTCCTCGTTAGCAACCCATCCTACGCATCACACATCATGTCGCATGTGAAAACGTGTAACCGATCACATTCATATCATATGCAAGCATAAATATGATCGAGTAATGCCATTTGTATCAAGATTGGCTTATGTAATTCATATAATAAAACAAGTGTCTCGTATTCAAACTCGGGGATAATACGGTATTCTATGTAATTTGAGCTCCCAAAATGCATGTTGGAATCTCGTAGTGTTTGTGTTTACTTGATCTCTAATTGCAACTGGGTAGAATCTATAGGTAGCAACGATCTTCCATGGTTATACGGGCACTAAAAATACAAATGGGATGGATGTTCAAAATAGTGGATATAGCCGTGATTCGTCGGACTAGGTCTATTTACTTTTTCTCTTGTTTGCCGATTTCTAATTCTTAGAAATGATTTGATAGGAACAATGGAAGACAGGAATATTTGGCAATTCAGGAGACGAATTATCATCATTCATAAACAAGTG